CATGTCCTACATGCTTCCAAGCGAAGCCAACCATGGTTGAGTAGGACCTCTGACATCTTCATATAGGTGGAACTGGTAAAAGCAAGAGCCCCCAAGCCCATGTGACCCCTGAGGAACAGATCCTCAAATGACCATAAGAGTAAAAATAAATAGGTTTATCTAGACCAACTGTATGGCCTTAAACACTCAAAAGGAAAGTATAACCAAAGATTAAAGGGGCCAATATAATTTCTTAAGAGTCCATATGTATAGCTAAAGTCTACATAACAAGCAATAATGCCAGATAGGAGATATCTTCTTTTGAGTTGTTGGCCAGGGGGACCAAAGGGATTCCCAGATAGTAACCCCGCATAGAACTGGGAAATTGAACTGCAGACCCCAATCTTATCCAAAGCAATATTGACAAGTGATTACCGCTAGATGAGGAACAGCTGACCCTCCTAAAACAAAGACCTCTAGATAGGCTGGCTAGATTCATCAGAAGGACAAGTAGTGGGGAATGGCTTGGCTGCCAACAACACAGCAGACAGTAGTAGGAATATCAGAGTGCACGGGCTCTAGTGGCGGGAGGGAGGCTATGGGAAGGTGCTACCTGGGAAGTGGGTGTATAAATAAATAAAAAAAATAATTCTTCAAAGCATAAAATTTTGCTCCTTAATAATTAGTAGATGTGGAAATTTATCATTGAAATCTACCTGATGACTTTATATCCATGCTCAGATCCAAGGAGCTCAGAAAGTAACTGACTATGACTAGTAATAATCAGATATATAGAGATTAGAAACACATGTGCATCTTAGCGTCACTTGTATTAAAATTGAATTTTTCTGTTTGAAACTTTAATAATGAAATGGAAATCTTTTTTAAAGTTTAAAACCTCATTTAATTTATGCCTTATAGGGTTTATATGGAGTACAATATTGTATAACTGTATTAATTCAGCTGTAAACCTAAAAATTTACAGACAATTTTGAAAGAGATGCATCTTAGCTCTGGAAATTGTTATTGAATATGTCAATGCTATTCTAATGAAATGCTTCTTCTAATTATATGGTTAGTAAATAAATAATTTAAAAATATCTGTTTCCACATTCTCTTGAAAAATTAAAAAGGCACAGCTGTACTGTCTGTGTTGTAAATGATAGTGGTTTGCTCTTTCCCTGAGACACAGGCATCCAAAATGTTCTTGAGGAAAGCTAAGGGGAAATATCTTGAAACTGTGTTCTTATGTTTCCCACAAGAGGGCAGTATAATCTTTAAAAGCACAGGCATCCTGGAGCTTCTGGCTTGACCCTGCCTCTAAACATGGTGAAATAATTTGGTTGGGTATCCACCTGCATTTTGCACATCCAATCACCAATACAACACATGGTTCATGCTGTGAAAAGTTAAAAAAATATTGTATGTATTTGTTTGTGTGTTTGTGTGTGTTCCTGGAAGTGTTTTTGGGAGTGTGTGTGCCATGGGAGTGTGTGGAGGTCAGAGGACAACTTGGAATTCGTTCTATTTTTCTACCGTGTGAGTTCTGGGGATTGAACTCAGGTCATTAGGCTTGGCTGCAAGTGCCTTTACCTGCTGAGCCATTTTGAATGCTCTGATTCACTCTTTTGATCCACATTTTCACGAACTTCTGTCCTTGGGCCTGGTTCCTACCCTCAAAAATAAAAAAAACCCAAAACTTCCTTGGAAGCCACCTTGATGGAAATCAAGAGGGGGCCTTCGATGATGTAGCTTCGGAGCCAAGTGCAGTGGAGGTGTTAGTTGTAGAAGTTTGACAGACGCCTTGTGAGGCAGAATTCTTTCTCGAGTCTCATGTTGCCCAGTCTGGCCTAGAACTCCCTATGTAGCTTAAGATGGCCTTGAACCTGACCCTCCTGCCTCTACTTCCTAAGTACTGGGATTCCAGGCCTATGGGGCAGCGTTCCAAGTTTTATAGTGCTAAGGATGGACCTCAGAGCCTTGGGCAAGCTAGGCAAGCACTCCACCAGCTGTGCTATGGCCACAGCTCCTTGTGGGAATTTTTTTTTTTTTTGGTCTTTTGACACAGGGTCTCCCTGTAGCCTCAGTTTTCCTGGAACTCACTATGTAGACCAGGCTAACCTTGAATTCACAGTGATCCACCTATCTCTGCCTCCTGAGAGCTGGGATTAAAGGTTTGCGCCACCACACCAGGCTTTTTGTGGGTTGGTACAGAATCTTGGTTTTTGTTGGCATCTTGAGGCAAAGTATACAGCCTTGGGCATGCCCTAATACTTACCAGGTGTTATGTAAACTGAGATGCATGTTTGTTAATTTAGAATGGAGGCCTAGAACTCGCTATGTAGACCAGGCTGGCCTGGAACTCACAGAGATCCACCTGCCTTTGCCTCCCAAGTGTTGGGATTAAAGGTGTGCACCACCATGCCTGATTTAGAAACTCATTTTTTGATAAGCAGCATATTTTTCTTTTAGAAAAATTTAACAGAAGTCAGAATATATTCATGCCTACTAAGGGATGTCCTCATTTTTGGGACTGGAGAGATGATGCCATAGTTAAAGATCACCAGCTGCTTGTGCAGAGGACCTGGGTTTGGTTCCCAGTACCCACATGGTGGCTAACCACTCATAACCCTAATTCCAGGGATCTGATGCCCTCTTCTGGTCTCCTTGGACATTGCATGTACATGGTGCACTTAGAAGCAGGCAAAACATGTAAGTAAATGGATAATAAAAAATTAAAAATATAGGGGCTTGAGAGATGGCTCAGCAGTTAAGAACACTGACTGTTCTTGTAGAAGACCCAGGTTCGAATCCCAGCACCCACATGGCAACTAACAACTGTCCGTAACTCCAGTTCCAGGGGATCCAACAGCCTCTTCTGTCCTCTGAGGGCATTGCAGGACATGGGTGCACTTACCTACATGCAGGCATAACACTCATACACATTAAAAAAATAAAGATAATAAATAAAATATTAAAAAATGTGTAATCAGAGCCCTGCACAAGGGTAGTGATACAGTTTGATACTGAAGATTCCCTTGTGCTGTCTCAGTTCTTCTGTGCCAAGGGACTGGATGGCCAGAACTTGATTTCCTTACTCAGGCAATGCTGCAGTACGTTGCTCTATCTAGTTAGTTGCTCCTCTGTTTTCTGGAACCACTTTCCAAAACCTACCCTGTTAGTGTAGTCCATATTAGATCTGCCTACCTTCCAGATTAGACTGGATTTACTTATAGCACTTTTCTCTTTAGGTCCTGTTCATATCTATTATAAAATATTTTAAATAGTTTGAATCTAAGGATTTTGGGGACATTTAGGATCAAGGCCCTTTGCAACTCTGAATATACCTGAAGAGATTTGAAAGGTTTAAGAAAATAAAGCTAGTTCCTTTAAAAAATTTCTTAGCATATTAATTGAACATAACACCCTCTTTAGTCCTCATCTACCCGTTATTCTCCTTTCTCTTCCCATCTAGTCCTTCCTTCTGTTTTCATGTGCGTGTGTGTGTGTGTGTGTGTGTGTGTGTGTGTGTGTGTATGTTTGAACCAATGATTTTTTTTTTCTCGTGGGGTCTCCTTGGCCTCCTTGATCATGAGGACAGGTGACCCACCACCATTACAGGGCATGAGAGATGCTCATAGTTCCCTGGTACTAGTCGACCTAGGAGGGCAAGGAGCAAAAAGTGTCCTTTATGTCCTTCTGACCAAATTATTATAGGCCTCAAAGTATGTCTGTTAAACACCCAAGAAGGTTATGAACCAATGATTTTTAACATGAGCACAGGCAATTTGTGAGTGGCTTCACCACTGAAGAAAATGTCATTCCCTTCCCAGCAGCGTTTTTTTTTTTTTTGTCTTTTGGAGACAGAGTCTCCCTGTAGCCCCAGCTGTCCTGGAACTCACTATGTAGACCAGGCTGGCCTTGAACTTACAGAGATCTGCGTGCCTCTGCCTCCTAAGTGCTGGGATTAAAGGTGTGCACCACCATGCCCAGCTGTCCCAGCAGCAACTCTTAACTGCCTATAGATCCTCAAGGAGGGGAGGTGAAACTAGTTCTTATTCCTAAATGGTAGCTATAAGTGAAAACAGAGACCTCAAAAAAGTCCTTTTTCTTTTTTTTCTTCTGAGACAGGGTCTTCCTGTAGCCCCAGCTGGTCTGGAACTCACTAGGTAGACCAAATTGGCCCTTGAACTCACAGAGATCTGCCTGCTTCTGACTCCCACATGCTGGGATTAAAGTTGTGCGCCACCACACCAAGCCCAAAAATTCCATTCATAAATTTTAGGCCAGCTTGGGCAAGGTCAAGAAGACTTTGTCTCAAAAAATAAAAAAATCATCCTTCTTTTAGATTTAATTTAAAAATTATGTGCATATGTGTATATTTGTATGATTTATATGTACATGTGTGCAAGTGACCACAGAAGTCAGAAGGGTGCATCAGAGCCTCTGGAACTGGAGTTACAGGCAGTTGTGACCTGCTGCATGTGGGTGCTGGGAATGGAACTTTGTTCCTCTGCAGGAGCAGCAAGTGCTCTTAACCACTGAGTCATCTCTCTAGTCATCCCTCCCCAGTCTATCCTTAATACTGGTATGATTTGAAATAGTTTAATGACAATGTAGAAATGTGGGAAAATAAGAGGAGGAAGAAAAAGCTGAATCATGTAAGTTGGATCTTGAGTTATTTAAAAATTAGTTGTAGTTTAAAAAACTGCAATTTTTGCCCCGTACTCATTGGACTGAATAGCCTAGACATGTTCCACCAGTTAAAGCTAATACTGAATTGTGAGTAATTGGATGTATTTAAATATATGTGAATACTGGTTTTGATCTTAGTTTCTGTTAGTCCATAGTTGCAGAGGATGTTTGCTTAACCTTGGGGTTTAATTTTGGACTTAATTCTGGGTGCAACAAGAGATTTCGCTTGACAGTTTTGCTAATTTTTATTCATATGCTCACTTGGAGGAATATCTATGTATTTCAGGTGTCTCCTTCAGTTAGCTTTGTTAAAATCATCCATGCTTAAGACTATACTTTCAGGGATCATTTCTATAGTTCATTACTAGAGAAGTTTCTCTGCTCTGTAGAGTACTGGAAACCATGAGGAGGACAGGTAGCAGTCTCTCCTGAGCGTGAAGCCTGCATTTGGTGTTGCTTCGCTGCAACTGCCTTTTGCTATTGATGATAGTTCTTCTCTCTTTTGGGAGAGTAGAGGGAGAGGATGCAGTCTGAGTGGTAAAAAAAATCATCCATGCTCTGTATTTCTGATGTGAGGGTTGAAGTGTTTGGTGACATCGTGTTGGTGTCTATTCCTGGTTCCAGAACAGAAGGTGGCAGATACCCTTTTAAGTAGCTTGATAGGATTTGGAAAAATAGGGCAGTTAGAAAAAGAGTTTTTGGTACTAAAGTGCAGTCAAGTGTGCGCTTAAATGCTTTTTCAGTGCTCCAAACCTGGCTTTGCTTCATGGTGCTATTAGAAAAAGTAGAAGACTTAGTTCTACTTAAAACAAAACAATTAGAGCAATGCAGGCCACAACAATGCAGTAGAGGTTAGACAGACCTGAGTGGCTTTTATAATCTTCCCGAGAGTTCCTTAATATTTGAAAGAGATCCTGCAAAGATTATATGAGGTAATCCTTGTAAAGCACTCAGCCCAGAGCCTGGCATGTGGTTGAGTGTTCACGATTTGGTAATAGCCATAACGCTTGGGTCTAATGAAATGTTTCCTTTCCTTTTCCTCTCGAGAAAGAAAGCCTTCCTACACGCACTGTTCCTGTTAATCACTTTGAAAGAAAGCTTCCTAAAACTCTGTGTATGACTGATCTAAAAAATTTTATGTGTACGAGTGTATTGCCTGCATGTATGTAAGTGCACCCAAATGATGCAATGCTGTAGAGGTCAGAAGAGGGTGTTGGATTCCCTGGAACTGGAATTATGGACAGTTGTTAGCCACCATGTGGGTGCTTTGCATCAAACCTGGCAAGAGCAGCCAGTGCTATTCACTGTTGAGCCATCTCTCCAGCCCATGACTGATTTTTTTTTAATAGACTATTTTTTTTTGTAAAAATGGAATTATGGGCCTTTTGATCCTATTTTGTTTTGTTTTGTTATTTTTTCATATTTTTGTCAGTTTCATGCATGTGCACAATGTATTTTTAACCCACCCCAAGCTTCTCCCAACTAGTCTCTGTCTTACTTTATGTCTCTTTTCGTGAGCAGGTCCTCTATTTTCTCACCACAGTGTGTTTGCTGGTAATGGATTTTTTTTGTTTCTTTTTCTTTTTCTAAGATGGTCTCGCTATGTAGCTTAGGTTGGCCTCAAACTTGAGTGCCTCTTCTCCTTGAGCCTCCCGGGTGCGGAGATTGTAGCATATGCCACTACATTTGGCTTGTAACTGCTTTTTTTTTTTTTTTTTTTTTCTTCGTAGCTTGGCCTAGTCTCAAACTCATTGTGTAGTAGAGACTGACTTTGAATGCCTCATCCTCCAGCCTTCACCCCACTGGGATCATAGGCATGTGTCACCACACTTAGTTTGAAGCTCCATCTTTTTAAAGTGCTTCTGTCTGGAAAGCCAGCTAACCACAATTGTACATTACTATGTAAAGGAGAAAAAGTACAAAAACAGCACATAGTAGGACTAATGAGCGGGGGCATTGGAACAACTTGGTTTTGGGTATCCAGAATTCTTTTGCTTTTAGCCTTCTTGCCATCCTCTAAAAGATGGGTTTCTGGAGGTGTGGTCTTGGTTAAAAGGGGAGTTTGTTTAGGATCAGAGTTAGGATCAGAATAAGTGGTCCTTGGAACATTTTTATCTTCCACCGGACATAAATCTGGTGGAAAGGTTTGACTGTGAAGCGCACAGGAAGTGTTGGCTCCAATTCCCAAATACAGCACATCCCTGTGCCAGCGTTGCCCTCCACAGTCTGTGGCATTGACTGGGGAATCTCAAGTCCTCTTGAGAGGACCCAATGGGTGAAATGAATTTGGTCTTAACTTTATAGACTTTTTTCAGGCTAAAATATTTATTTGTAAAACAAAATGAAACAAAAACCCCTTAAGGGCCTTTCAGCTCTTTGGAAGGTGAACATGCTCTTTGAAGTGTTGGAAGTTGAACGAGTGGAGGAAACTGGCTTTGGTCGTGAAAGAGTGCAAGAACGTTAAGATTCTCACAGCTGTTTTAGTGGGCAGAGGGCTTCCACTTGGGGAATCCCACCACGAGAAATCTCGGTTTTCTTTGCTGTTTGTTTCATTTCATTCTGTGTACTTCTCTCCTCAGACTTAAATACCAAATCATTTCTATTGCTTCACACTTTCCACCTGGGGTCTCAGGACGTCACATGGAACCAGAAAGCATCTGCAGTTTCCCAGTTTGCCACGTCTTATAACTCAGACTTCTCTTTGGGCTGTTCATGTCATCATCATGGTGTCTCTGGGTATTTCTAGTTGAGTTTTCAGTTTCAACTGAAGCTGTAATCTCAGAAGTGGTGAGACTCTCCATGCTTAAAACCCAAAGTCATCTTGGCAAGTTGGGGTTTTTTTTGTTTTTTGTTTTTTTGGCCTATGATGGTCCAGGTGACTTAATTTTGAAAGTCCCTTTCCCTTTTTGCAGTTTTGCTGCTTTTTAAAAATATAATTTCTAAATTTGAAAGTTTTTTTTGTTTGTTTTGTGTTTTGTGTTTTTTGTTTTTTGAGACATGGTCTCCCTGTAGCTCCAGCTGGCCTGGAACTCAACAGTGTAGACCAAGCTGGCCTTGAACTCATAGAGATCCTCCTGTTTCTGTCTCTGCCTCCTGAGTGCTGGGATTAAAGGCCTGTGGCACCATACCTGGCTTCTAAATTTGAAAGTTTTAATAAAATAAGTAGTATTGTTTTTCTGTGGGCAAAAAGTAGCTTTAGTGTAACCCTGTGTATGCTTCTTTGATTCTCTCTGATCATGGATGAAAATTAAAGGCAATAAAAACAGATTCAGTTCTGCCTAGTGATGGCATTGACTCAAATGAAGCATATTTGTTTTCAAATAAACTAGGGCTTTTGTTGAGAAATACAATTTGCTACAAGGGCAAGTTTGGATATTTTGAACAAATTAATCTATTAAATTGATTAATCCTTTTGCAAATTGGGAATTAATTCTGGTGTTAAGCTTCATGTCTGTTGAGAAGGGCTTCCACAGAACTGGCCTATTTGCCAGAGAGAGCTGTCTGTCCTTGAGAAGGTCCCTGCAGTGGCTGGCCAGGGCTGCCTCCTTCATCCAGTGTCTCATGCAGTTGAGCCGCATGAGGTTGGGGTGACAGCCTCCAGGAGGCCGGAGTTCAGCTTGTTGGCTCTGAGAGGTTGGACATGAAACCTGGAACATTTCTCCCAGCTCCATATGGTCCGGCATCTCTCCTCCTTCCAGATCCTCTACTTCCCTTTTCCTCAGTGTCAATGGACAAAGATGTCCACTGAGACCTCAGTCCTGCCTCCTCCTTTTGTTCCTGGTTTCATACTATTGTCTCTTTTCTTTCCTGACTTCAAGACTCCTTGATATTTGCATGCATTTTAATCAAGGGGTTATTAATTTTGTATTCTTGGCTCCTAGGACAGTGGCATATAACAGGGTTTCAATTAGTACTTAAATGGATAAATGAATAAATATTTAAGTTTAGTCTATTGATGGAAAGTAATCTGACTAAATTAAGTCACATTAAAATACATTTGACCAGACTAGGAAGATGGCTCAGTGATTAAAGTACTTGCTGTACAAGTGTGTACTAGAGCTTGGATCCCCAGAACCTATTGAGGGGGTGAGGTGGCTTGTCTATAATCCCAGACTCAGAAGGCAGAGACAGGAGGTACTCAGAACATCCTGACTAGTGAGACTAGACATACCAGGGAGCTCTGGGTTTGACTGAGAGATTTTGCCTCAGTGAATAAAGTGGAAGAACACATAAATGAAAACAGAAAAACAAAGCTAATCAAATTATGAATTGGCTCAAAGCTTTCCTCAGTACTATTTAAAACATAGGGACTGTACCCTTGAATTTGTGAGATCTGTACCATTAATTAGTTAATTTATTTCATAACAGAAAAGTTGTTTAAAAGATCTTTATTTTTATTCCTGTGTATGAGTGTTTGGCCTGCATATGTTAAGTATACCCATGTGTGCAATGCCTCTGGAGGCCAGAAGAGGGTGTCAGATACCCTGGAACTGGAGTTACAGTTAGATACCATGTGGGTGCTGTGAATCAAATCTAGGTCCTCTGCAAGAGCAGCCAGTGCTTTTAACCACTGAGCCATTTCTTCAGCCCCAACTAGCTCAGCTAGTAAAGGAGCTTGCTGCCAAGCTTGACCTCAATTCAATCTAAAGAACCCACATCATGAAAAGAGTGAACTGACTTCCAAAAGTTGTCCTTTGACCTACATATGCTTGCTGTGGCGTGCATACACACACCCCACACAATAAATAAATGTTAAAAGTGATTTTTTTATTTTGAGTTTCGTACATGAGTATTATCTTTGCATTATTTCTACCCCTCCTGGTACCCCACCAGCTTCTCCCACATCCCCCACAATTCTCAACTTCTTGTCCTCTTCTTTATTACTGTTACATATACATACACACACACGTGTGTGTGTGTGCATGTGTGCGTGTGTGCGTGCATGTATAATGCACTGAGTCATATGTTTCTGTGTTTAAGCTGCACACTTGGGATTTAAATAAACTCTCAGGGAGATAGTCCCTGATTCTGCCTCCCTCAGCATCTGCTGATTGCCTGTAGTCCTTCATCTTGAGTTGGGACCCTAAAACATTTCCCTCATCCACATTGGCAGGTCAACCTCTTTTATCATAATGCAGATCTCATTAGACTACTGTACTGTGGAGATTTCATGGGTGCAGCTTCTCTATCATGACTTGAAAGCATTAGTTAGCAGCAGGTGTCTTGTCTCTCTGGCTCTTACATTCTTTCTGTCTCCTCTTCCGCAATGTTCCTTAGTTGTAGAGGTTGCATTGTAGATGTGTCACTTAGGGTTGGGCACCTCACAGTCATGTATTCTCTGCATTTTTATAGCTGGATGGCATCATTGATTGGTTTTTCTCCCTTGGCAGCTTGCATAGTATCTTCTGATACTGTGAGAGCCAGTCTTCAGGGAAGAGGTTTCCAGGTCAGTTTCAGCTCAATTGCTTTAAGTCCTGTGCTTTCAGCAATAGGGTCTTACCTTCAAGTTCTGGGAGACAGTCAAGGGCTGTGGCATAGA